ATTCCTCTATCATACTTTTTAGACTACTTTAGTTCTTAAATAGAGTCCAAATCCAAAAAGCCAACAGGCAATTTAAAATCAGTTTTAAATGCTGATCCATGTCAAAAAAAAAAATAAACCCTACATTTCCAAAGCAGATATGTTTAACATCTTGTTAATGTTACTAGCACCCACACGAACTAATTCTATGTCAACAACAACCAAAAACAAACGAAAAAACCCAGAAGACAGAGGAGAAAAGAAAAAAAAAGAAAGTTACAAGGAACAGGTTTACCTACCATTACTCTGCAGTGTTAATCCTGAGAGATCTTCATTTTTTAAAGGGGGGGAAAAAAATGAGACATTAATCATTACCATGAAAATATTTTCCATTATATTTAAAATAATCAAATGTAAATTTAAACCAGATTACAAAACTTCATGAACCATTTCAATCCAAGAGAAGTAATAAAAAAATGCTTTTTAACAATAAACATTAAATGTGTAAACTATTTAATTCTATAATGCTTTCCATCTTATTTTTCAAAAATAATGTTCTAAGTGGGCAAAATACCAATTATATATAATTAGTTTTAACAGTCAAAATACAAGCTGGTTTCCAAGTTCAAATTTAAATATTTATATTTCATTTAAAATGTCTGACTCCTTAACCATATTTGAAGTCCTGGGTTATCTCCAAATCTATAGCTTATTTTAGAAAAATTAAAATACTATTGGGATCTTTTCTCTTCATGCTTCTCATGATAAAGGCAAAGTCTACTTACCAATTCCAGGTGATACAACTCGTTCATAGTGATAAGGATTCACACAGACACTGTCACATTTTAAGTCAAATGCATACTGACAATATTTAACATGTTTTAGTTCATTTTTGTGAAGATCAGGCCACCTCCAGAGACGGGCATATATCACATGAGGAAATCCTTTCCGACCAGCCACCTAGGAAAAATAAACGGCCATTTATTGAACATCAGTTATATGCCAGACATTATACAAGGCACTCTGTAATCTGCACAATCCTACAATGTCAGTATTAGAATCCCCATTTCATAAATGAGAAAACTAAAGCTCAAAATAGCTTACTTGCCCATGATCACAAAGCACTACAGAAGAGACAGAATTTGAACCTAGGTATGATTTCAAGAACTGTGCTCAGGTTTTACAAATGTAAAAAGTATGAATTTGTTGCAGAAATCATGTCTAAAACCTAGAAGCAAAATATTTTAATTCAACCACATTTCTATAGGTTTATTTAAAATTATTAAGCATGGGAGATAATTACATAGTTGTACATGAAAATATGACCAGTGAAAATGAAAGGTAGAGAAAAATTATAAAATGCAAGCTTTTACCTCCTTGAGTTCTGAAAATATGTTTGGACTCTTTTAGAATGTTTTTCATATAATATAAGTACTAAACATATGATATCAGATATCTAAATTGTAACAGGACCGAGTAGTTGAGGTAATCAGAAGTTTGCCAAATATATAGCATAACTGTTTTTCAAATGTGCATTAAAAAAAAAAAAAAAAAAAGACTACTAGGATGCATACCAAATGATCAAAGGTAGTTCTCTCAGCGTGTGGGTTTTCTTCTGCTTTGTAATTTTCTTTATTTTTCAAATTTTCTACACTGAACTATTTTTGGAGTCAAAACATTAAAAACAACTTTTAAGATAAGGACAAATACCATATGATCCCATTTATATGAAATAGGTAAATATATGGAAACCAAAGTTTATTAGTGTTTACCAGGGGCGTGAGGGAGACGGAAACAGGAAGTCATTGATAGGGGACACTGAGTTTCTGTTAATGGTGGTGGAATAATCTGGAAAAGGATAGTGGTGATGGTTGCATAACATGATGAACATAATGTCATGTGATTTTACACGTAAAAACTGTTGGATTGGTAAATGTTTTGTTATATACACTTCTTACCACATAAAAAATTTTTGGGAAAAAAAAACACTTTGAAGATATATCTTTAGTATGTGTAAGACATTTTCTTCCATACATTTACATAATGCATACTGGCATAGGATACAAAGAATCTGAAAAGCTGGCACAAGCATTAAATTATTCTACAGTAATTTAAGAGGAAGCATAAGGATTTTTTTTTAATCTGCCACCACAGGAGATAGAGAAGAACACTAGTACAAGACTAACCTGAAGCCTTCCATCCAGTGTTCTCTGTATGGTAACACATTTGCTAGGATGCGCTCCATTTGTAGTTATAGCTGTTATTAAAGAATCCAATTCATCCTTTTTCTCCTTCAGCTTCTTTACCAAACTTTCAATTGCTCTTTTTGCAAATGTTTCACTCTCTCCACCTTGTCTATGGCACATCAAACTATGTACAATGCTCAGACAGGCATCATTACTTGTTGGTGTATTCGTAATAGACATATTGTCCATCTGTTAAAGTTATTTCTTTTAAATCAAATACGTCTCCAGTTTCTGGAACAATTTTGATCTTTTGGAGGCAGTGAAAAACAACAGCTAACGTTGCAAGAAAAATAGTTAGGCATGTGGTATTCAAGATAACCTAAAAGAGAGAGAGAGAGAGCTATTAGAACACATTTCACAAAGTAGATTCAATTACTTGGGAAAAGACAGGATCAATTAAGACTCACTGTACGTAATCAAATTTTGGTGCTTATGAGTTTAAC